CCAGCCCGCCAGCCCCGGCCAGGTGGCCAACGCCATGGCACTGCTGCGAGGCCGCGCGGGGAAGACGGTGGACCTGGGGTCCGGGGACGGACGGATCGTAAGAGTGCGGGGTCGGGGGTCGGGGTGGCCCGGGTGGGCTGGCACCGGGAGGGTGGTCGGGAGCACCCCAGGTACCTGCTGCCCTGCGTCTGCCTCTGGGGCTACAGTCCTTGGGCGGTCCCGGGGGGTCCTGGGCATCCCTAGATGATCTTAGGCATCCCAAGATGGTCCTGGGCATCTCTAGATGGTCTTAGGCATCCCTAGGTGGTCCTGGGCATTCCTAGATGGTCTTAGGCATCCCAAGATGGTCTTAGGCATCCCTAGATGGTCTTAGGCATCCCTAAGTGGTCCTGGGCATTCCTAGGTGGTCTTAGGCATCCCTAAGTGGTCCTAGGCATCCCTAGGTGGTCTTAGGTGGTTCTAGACTGTCCTAGATGGTTGTAAGTGGTCCTAAGTGACCCTACGTGGTCCTAGATGGCCCTAGACACTCTTAGGTGCTTCTAGGTGGGCCCAGATGTTTGTAGGTGGTCCTAGGTGGCCCTAGAAGACCTCACATGCAGTGAGTAGGGTGGGAATGAGCACTCTGGAAGGTGCTGAGGACTAAGGTCACCCTGCCCTGGAGCCAACAGGAGGGAGGGAGTGGAACTGGCATCAGTCCCTGCCCCTGTGCCCAGATTGTCCCCCAGACTCAACACTGAGGATTGTTTGAGTTTGACCTCTCTCTCTCTCCCCTCTCCAGGTGGTTGAGGCTTACAAGCAAGGTCTGAGACCTGCCCTAGGCTATGAGCTCAATCCCTGGCTGCTGTGTCTCTCCAACTACCGTGCCTGGAAGGCTGGGTACCACGGGAAGGTCTCCTTCCTGAAGAAAGATCTGTGGAAGGTAACAGCATCCCCAGGGCCTGCGTGTGCGGAGGCAGGGCCAGGGCTTGGTCTCCATCTCCAGGTTAGCTTTGCTGGTGGCTGCTTGCTGCTTCCCCAGCCCACGCTGCTCCCGGGAGGTGGAAACCATCCTCGTTTCCAGGGGAACAGCAGCCTGGGCAGCCCATGCCCAGTTCTCCTTCTTGGAGCAGCTTGGAGGAGTGGTTTG